ATTTTCACAAGGGTGTTTATGGTTTTCCAAGGTTTAAGACATGTGCTCTATCTCCGCCTATATATATATATATATATCTTATTTCTAATAGGTCACTTGAAAGGCTTCCAATAATGCACAAAGGCTGTCTACCACACACTACCTCTGGGTGTATCTGTGTGCATGTGGAGAGAGAGAGAGTTAGAGACTTGATTTAATTACACCTGCCGACCATCTAAATTATGTTTTAGTAGAAGACAAGTGAAAATTATTGACCTGACCCACATTTCCTTTGATGGGTCAGGTTGTATAACTCAAACAATGCAACCCGGAATTCAAGCTGGGTTTAGAAAGAATTTACCCTTCCCAAACAAAGGTTTTAGCTATGTTTATATTATTACATCAGTTAATTTGTTCACAGCATGTGAGGACTGGCCTAGTTCTTGATGTCAATCTTGCCTTGATGGAAGGTATCAGCCTGCTGTATCCCTGAAATAGAATGAATGCTTCTTGTATATATATTCATTATTCAATGTTGTGATAGCAGTTGTAAGCTTCCATATGCATGCAAGGTCAGTGACAGCAATTGGTTTATTACCAATGTAACAGGAACTCGGCCAAATTATCAAGATGATAATGCCAAGTGGATCTCTGCATTATTGAGCTCTGACATTCGAGAAAGCATGGTGTAATGGGGAAGCAGTTAGAGGGCCAGTCCAGAATTATTAGTAAAGCTAATGAAGGACCACAGTTGGAGCATTTCTGTAAGCTAAAGTTATGAAGAACAACACCCAATCCACCCAAGGGACCACGGTATACATTTGCCCTGTACCCAACCCAAAACAAGAAACTGAATCACTGTTTTAAAGTATTCATAACTCGTCAAATTTTAACTACAAATGACTCACTGCTTTAATTGGAAGCAAAAACAGCTAATTTTGCATTTTAACTGGAGAATAATGCCTTCAGAATGTTTCACTATTTTAACCGTCATTTTCTCTCTGCTGTGTTACCATGATTCCATCAACTTGTATGAACTTTTGTAAGTATATATGTGGTTCAGAGGCCTTAAGCTTTACCGTTGGAGCATGTGATTGTTCTCTCTCCTAACACTTCCATGAACCAACGCTACCTCACTGTCTAGAAGTTTGATTGATTGATTGATTTAGAGAGAGAAAAGGATATTCCATTAGCAATAGATAAAACAAGGGATAACTAGAAACAAAGAATCCACTCGCATGGCTCATCTGTTGACCCACCAAAGTGAACCCAAAACCAAACGATTTCTTCCTCTTTTTAATGTAAAAAAAAAAACTTAAACATCATAAAATTACAAAATTGTACGGAATGGTGATATCATGCTGTGTGCACTCTATCTCAGAAATAGCTCCCTCTTAATTTACTAGTAACCCCTTTTTAAATTACATCCTGTCTATGGATTTGGCATCAATTCATGGTCAGATCCATACCACCTGTACATTAGAGTTCAGATTTTTAGGGGTAGACGGAATAATAATTAGTGGAGATGAAAATTTATAATTTAGATTTACTTTTCATAAATCCTAATCACTAGAGCCAAGAGCCAAGGTTCAAAATATCAATACGCTCCTCTGTATTGGTAGGGGTGTATCAGTACTTAAATTAATGTATTTTTTATATTTTTTAACTTTTTTCAAAATTTATTTTTGGGGCATATTTTTAATCATATTTGTTATTAAAAAAAAGAGTGTTTTCCGAAACCCCTTTAAAAAGGTGTATCGTAAAGCCACCACTCCGATACAAGACATCCATTATGGGACATACCGTATCGAAATTTTGAATCTAATTGAATTGTTCAGGCTCAACTTAAGTTCAATTTGAGTTTGAATCTCAAATTCAATTAATTATTCAAACTAGAATTCCATTAATAAAAAAGTTTAGCTCAAAAACTTGCAGGCCTGGCTCGATTAATACATACATACATATATTATAGAATATAAAAATATGTTTTATAATATATATTATGAAAATATATTCTTATATTTTATATAATATAAGAATATACTATAAAAATATTATTTTCAAGCTTTCGAATTGGCCTCGAACTCATCAAATATTTGATCAAACTGAGCTCGAATCAAGAAATATAGTTCAAATTGAACTTGAACTAAAATTTGAGCTTAGTAGTTAAGAGTATGTTAGTCGAATTGATCCAAGACATATAGAAGGTCTCCTCTATTGTACCCCTAGTCTACACACCCACCTCACGGCACATTGCAACTACATGTAATAAACATCTACCATACTTGTACGTTTTCGTTTACAAGGAAACATTCCCAATGCGTGATTGCAAGTAGTGTGAGGTGGGTGTTAGGATCCTAGTGAAAAGGAAATTTGGATGGGCATATTCCACATGTAAATTACTTAAACCTCTCATATGTTTTTTTCTTTTTTTTTTAACAAATGCTCTAACCTTTTCAAAACTTTGACCTTTCTAAATTCTTCCTTTAACATGTCAGAGAAATTATATAAACAGACCTCTTAACTTTTCGAATTTAATAGGAAATAAAAAATTACAATGTCATGACACCTTAAATGATAATATATATATTTCAATAAATAAGAAAAGAGACTTCTTGAAATATAAATTCATTATTGAAACATGTAAACAAGCCTATTTAGTGGTATTTTGATCAATAGAAACTCCAATATTGTCATTCATGAGCATCAACATTATCCAAGCCTTATCCCAACTATACGAGGTCAACTATATGAATCATGCTTTACTATTCCATCAAGTTATATCTATTGTTAAATTATTGGCACTTAAATCATTTCTTACTAGTTCTACCTCTGTCCTTTTTCGTCTACCCTTACTCCTAGTCCCTTCAACTTACAACAAATCACTTTTTACAGGTTTTGTTGATAATGCAATCCACTGGGTGGGGATTGAACTAAGGGAAGGTAAAGGATCTTTATAATTTTCCAAAAAAATATGAAGAGACTAATTTAGAGAAGTCAAAGTACAGGGGAGGTTAAAACATTTGCTATAAAACACAAGGGAGGTTAAGTAATTTACCCAAATTCCTAAACAAGACTTGCTATTATACACGACTCCGGATCACCTGCCCACGTCTATCCACAACACACTACCCTCATGAATTGGGAACATCTTCCCCTGTATAATACTATGTAGGAGGATGAGATGTTATCCATGTGTGGCTGCAATTTTATGTGGATAGACGTGAGCAGAGTTTGTGTGAACAGGAGATCCGGACTCATTATACACATGGTACACGTGGTCCTACTTTAATCTGTTACTTGTGTAACTTCTCCATTCTCCACCACACATCGAACATACTGAAACTGATTGTTAAATGCAGGTTAGGAGATGAAATGAAGCACAGGAAAAGCATGTTTTATGGTGTTGGTATCATCATGATCTAAGCCCTGTCCTAAGTATGAGTTATAAACGTTGCAGCTAAGAATGTAAAGATTACTCCTTGCATATGCAAGATTTACAGTCAAGTGTATATTGATGTTAGGTGCAACATTTATAGCTTGGTTATGCAAGATTTACAGTCCTACAGTGCTTTTATGGTACCAGAGCAGTATGAACAAAATAAATGAACACAATTAGATTGGGCAACAGTTGTCTTTAGTGCAACATTTATAGTTGGACTGTGTAAGAGTTACAACTCTATAATGTTTTATATGACATCGATACCATAGAATTTCTCGCTTGATAAACCTTTTTAAGCATTCATATATATCTTAAAACTCAAATAAGTGAACTAAAGTAGGCTTAGTTTGTCTCAGGTGCAATGTCAATAGTCCAATTGTGCGAGATTTACCATGCTACAGCTTGAAGGCGTCAACTAGCTGCTAGCCTGCTGGTAAAGTCTCTAGCTGGTTGTAACAGAGATCTGGCATCGAGTCCCATCCCGTCTTCACCCGGCTTAAGCAGTGGGAGGGGGTTAGGGGTTTGAAGGATGGCTACCTCTGTATGAAGCCTACTAAAAATAAAAAAAAAAGAAGAGAAAAAAGTAAAAATATGTTACAATCAAAGTTCAAAATTTTGATACAATTTACTTATTAAACAGTCCCGAAATGCAATTTTCAAGGTTTCTTCATTAAAAAAAAAGTTTTTTTAATGATAAGTATCAATATTATCAACCCCCACCAGTGGAAATATCAAAGTAAAAAAAAAAATGAACCACATGTTTCTGTACCATAGAATTGCTCATTTGTTGAAGTTTTCTTAACCTTTATCTCAACAATAAGGATAAATTATCAAAACCATGTTTATTTGGAGACCCAAATTTTCCAACCCATGACTAGAAAATCTGAAAAGGGCATGGAACAGGCTTTGGGTTCTTGTGAATCTCTTAGATTTTCTTGAGTTTCCAATAAAATTTTTTAGAGCTGAAAAAATATTTTTTCACAAACCCTATTCTTTATTCTCTAAGACATTAATTTAATAAGATTTTTCTTTCTACCCAACCCTTTTTAGGGCAATGTTTTCAAAACCAGACCAGACCGCACGATCGGACTGGAAAAATGAGAGCCGGTCACCTGACCTGGTTCCGTTTTAGCCCAGTACTGCTTTTTTGGCCAAAAGCATTTGATTTCAAAATTCAAACCATCAACCCAGACAACAGTTTTTAGTCATTTTTTACTTTTTATTATATATTTTAATCAGAACGAACAGATGGATCTGTTCGGTTCAACAGTCAGACTGTTGGAACCGGACCCAGAACCGTCCGATTCGGTTTTAAAAACCTTTCTTTTGGGGTGGGGTTGGGAGTGTTTTAAACTTACAAACTCAAATCTTTTTCTTTATTTATTCTGGTTGACTTCTTTCACCAAGAAAGTTCTCGGTGACTTCATTTGCTAGACACATTTAATGCGAATGTAGAGGTAAGTCACAACTAACAACATGCTTTCTGCTTCACAAGCCATACACATCACGTCACCTCATAAAAATTAACACACTTTGAACAATAAATCATGTTGATCTAGAGGGTCCAAGTGATGGGGTAACAGCCAAATGCCTCCAATTCTACCACACTAACATGAAGAGGTTAAACACTGAAGCAAAATATAGATTGGACGTCGCAGATTAAAGGGTCCCATATGTCAATTTCGAATAGAGATTGATCAAGCCACAAACCAAACTCATGCGTACCGTCAAATTATACGTCCAAACAGAATAGGTGGTTGGCTTTTATGGTGTGGAGCGTTCCCACACTTATGGTCCCTGATTGTGTTTCATAAATCAGTCTAGTCTAGGCTTTATTTATAGGAAAGAAGAAGAAAGTAAGTTGAAATTGAATTAGATTAGAGGTACAAACCCTCAAAGCAATTCTCTTATTGGGCCACATGGCATCCATGATTCAATTTTATCCCTCCAAACCCCCATTCTCCCAGCACAGCGGATTCCAAGACTCCTGCCTGGTTCAGTATGGATCTGAAACGAAAGCACCAAAGTATTTTCTCTTACACTGTCTTTAAGTTTCTCATATATCATTCATACCACCACCACCACATTTGTTGATGATGGAGTGCCCACCACCGCCATCATCACCTTCTGCACCACCCGAAGATCAAAAAATCCCCGCAATTGCATTAGAGAAAGCCTCATGTCTGCCACTTTCAGTGTTTTCCCACCAGATCAACTCTCTTGTCTTAAAATTTCTTCCGCTTATTACTTTTTCTGTTCAAACAGAGTATAACATCTTTTTTTTTCCTTTTCTTTGCTCTTTTTTCTTGTGACCCACTTAATCTTCGCTTTTTCTGCCTAATCCTTTCACTTATGTTCAAAGCAGATGATGAAACAGACCTTAACTCGTGCCACCAGTTCTTCTATTTATAACCAACCCCCCAAAGCCAAGCCTTAAAGTCACAAAAAGTTTTTACAACATTCTCAGCAGTTGTGGTACTCTTCCAGGATTTTTGAACAATAAGATGTCATTTTCATATGCAAAATCTTTCTTACAACGGTTTTTTAGCAACAACCTTGGAATGGAGAGTGGCAGCTATGGCTTCTTCTCCAGTGATATCTTACCATCTCTCGGAGCCAGGCTTAACCAAGAAACCAAGCTTAGGAGATGCATCATTTCTCCTTTCAATACCCATTATAGGTGACAAAACTTCGGACCTGTTCACTTAGTGTTGTTATTTTCTTCTGAAGCAAATGTGGTTATCATTTGTCAAAGCACACCAATCAAATTTTTTCTTCATGCCAGGGCCTGGGGCATGTTTCTCATTGTTCTGGTCATTTACTCAGCCTGGATCTGCCCATTTGAATTTGCATTTCTAAAATACAAGCAGGACACACTGTTCATCGTTGACTACATTATCGATGGCTTCTTTGCCATTGACATTATTCTCACCTTCTTTGTTGCATATCTTGACCGGAGATCTTATCTTCTGGTTGATGATCCCAAGAAAATCGCAATCAGGTAAATAAGCAGTTTCATAGTTCTGTAGTATTTATGAACGAACCAGTATATAATTTAGCCTTTTTCACATTAGTCTCATCTTTTTTCTTAAATGCTCTGAGCTTACATGCAGGTACATGTCAACCTGGTTTGTCTTTGACGTCTGCTCAACAGCACCACTTCAACCTCTTAGCCTCCTGTTCACAGATAACAGCAATGAACTTGGTTTTAAAGTACTCAGTATGCTCCGTCTGTGGCGTCTCCAACGGGTCAGCTCCTTATTCGAAAGGTCCATGGCCAAATCCAAATCTCTTTCCCTCGAAATTTCAAATGCTTTGGGTGGAAGAACAATAATATTCATTAAGCTGGTTTACTTTCTTCCAGACTGGAGAAGGACATTCGTTTTGATTATTTTTGGACTCGGTGCACAAAGCTCATCTTGGTAGGCCTCCAAGACTTTGCCTTCTCCATTCTTGGACTCCTACCTAGACCCGCTACTTCTATCAAAATTATACGCCCTTTCCTCTTAACTGCAGGTCACTCTGTTTGCAGTACACTGTGCTGGATGCTTTAACTATCTGATTGCTGACAGATATCCCAATGAAAATAGAACCTGGATAGGTGCTGTAATGACAAATTTTAAAGAAAAGAGCCTATGGGACAGATATGTAACAGCAATATACTGGTCTATCACAACACTAACTACAACTGGTTATGGTGATATACATTCTCAGAATCCAAGAGAAATGCTGTTTTCTATCTTCTATATGCTATCCAACTTGGGATTGACATCGTACCTCATTGGCAACATGACAAACCTTGTTGTTCATTGGACCAGCCGCACCAGAAACTTCGTATGTTCTCCACTTCAAGAACTTTTCTCTGCTTGCTAAAATAGTTATAGAGATATAAGCAATCTTGGTAAGCAGGCCATAATAAATCCAATTACCAACTGTTACTATAACCACATTTGGACATTTATATATAAATAATGTCATGAGAAACAAGTTCAAAAACAAAGCAGAATTTATTTACAAATGGAACTGCATAAAAATTCTGAAAACCAGGCATCACTTCTTATTGTTTGTTAAAAATTAGGTTCTTATCTATACATTCAGTAGCATATCCTACATTTTTGTGGGAAAAAATAACTTTCACTTCTATGATCAATGCTAAGCATACTTGTTTTCAATGCTGTAGAGGGATACCATCCATACCGCTTCTGAATTTGCAGCACGAAATCAATTGCCCTCACACATTGCCGATCAAATGTTGTCTCACATATGCCTCAAGTTCAAAACAGAAGGATTGAAACAGAACGAGACCTTGAATGGTCTACCAAAGGCCATTCGTTCAAGCATAGCACATCATCTCTTCTTCCCTATCATTCATAAAGTCCATCTTTTCCAAGGAGTTTCCAGTGATTTCCTTTTCCAATTGGTAATTACTTAACATAGTTCACAAACTTCCATGGTAACTGTTTTTTTTTTTATCTGCTAGGATTGAATACTGATTTATTGTCCCAAAAAACAAGGGTCATGGAGCAATAGCCCCAGCCAAGAATTGCATAATTCCTTAGAAATATCTGTTTATTGAATTACTCCTCAAAGTTCCATGTTATGTAAACGAATTTTTTCCTTCCATAATAAGGTTTCAGAGATGGAGGCTGAATACTTTCCACCCAAAGAGGATATAATTCTGCAGAATGAGACCCCAACAGATCTTTATATACTGGTCTCAGGAGCAGTGGTCAGTGATCTAATATTAATTTTTTTATTGGAAGCTGCATTTTCATTTACGAGACACTATCTTTTGATCCTCTATAATGCCCACTGCTAACTAATTTAATCTGGTTGCTGATTGTTCTATGGTTTCAGGATTTTATAGTATATGTTGACGGGCATGAGCAGGTATGATCTTTCTGCTTCTCATATTAACTGTCAATAGAGTAAAGGATATGGAACAGACCTAACTTGAATTCTTCATGAATATCATATACAGGTCCTTGGAAAAGCAATTGCAGGAGAAATGTTCGGTGAAATAGGGGTTTTATGTCACAGGCCACAACCATTCACTGTTAGAACCACGGAGCTTTCTCAAATCCTACAGTTGAATAGGAGCTCACTAATGAACATTATTGAGGCAAATAAAGAAGATGGAAGCATTATAATGAGCAACCTCTTCCAGGTATATATTATATCAGATAGACCTTTATACTTTAAAGAATCCTTCTAATGGTTAATCCTTTTCTTTTGCAAAAATGTGTTCATGAGAGAGGGGGACGGGTTTTTTGGTAATAAAAGCTAAATGCTCTATGTTCCTTTTCACAGAAACTGAAAGAACTTGATGGCTTTGGCTTCAGAGAAACATGTGCATATTCACGCCTGAACCTCAAAGAATGGCTCCATGAAGGACCACAAAAGGAAAAAAGTTGTTTTCATGTGGGATGTCAAGAACCTTGTCCACACACAAACTCAAACCAGGATACAAGAGACAGCAATATTCTAGTGTCAGAGGCTGCAGAAAGGGGCAAAGAAAACACAGTCTATGATCTCATTAGATGGAGAGCTGATGCTAATTCAACTGACACATATGGCCAAACAGTCCAGAATATTTCTGTTCACAATGGGAATCTTGAAATAATTAAGATTCTACTAGAAGGAGCAAATATAAACAACTTAGATGCTAGAGGGTGGACGCCAAAGGTTATTGCAGAGCAACAAGGACCAAAAAACATTTATAACCTCTTACCATGTTATGAGAACAGGAGCAGAAATTTAGAACATAAAATAGAATTCATTGAGAAAGAGACAATCAAAAACATTGAGAATGGTCAAAGAAAAGATGGGAGAAATGGAAAATCCAAACTTTGCAGTACCTGTGAGAGCCAAGTTACAAAATTGACAAACATAAGAGTCACAATCCACATGCCCTTTCGAAAGGAATGTACAACTCAAGAACAATTTGGGAAGTTAATTGTCCTACCTGATTCCCTAGAAGATCTATTCAAGGTAGCTGGTAAGTCTTCTTTTAACTCAAGAGCATTTCATTATAAACCTGAAAATTCGAAGGTAAAATTATGGCACTAGTTAAAGTTACTCGCAAGTAAATATAGCATAGAAAAATTAGCTGGACCACGTTCCTAGAAACTCCCAACCATGAATTTAAATCAATAATCCATGTAAATCAGGAGCATTCTTTCTTAATTAGGCTATATCTTTTCTCACACAAGTACTATGTGAAACTGCAGGTCAAAAATTTGCAGGCTACCATCCAACAAAAGTTGTCAATGCACAGAATGCAGAAATAGAAGACATCAGTGTCATTCGAGATGGAGATCACCTGTTTTTCCTTCAAAATGAGCATGAAATACAGATCGCAATGTAACATAACCATTATTTAGGAGAATATAGATACAATGTGGATTGTAGACATACAAATAGTTTATAATTTGTAGGCAATTATAATGAGAATAAAAGGAACAAGAGAACATGTTAATCAAACTTGGCCTTCAAAGCCAACAATCATACTGGAAAATTGAGTAATAGAATTACATTTGATCACAGTTAACTCATGATAACCACAGAAAAAATCATCCATCAATAAAACTCAAAGAATAATAATACAAGAAACTACATCTTTAAGAATATCAATGATTTGGTGGGCTATGTAGGCAGGGAAAATTCAAGGAGATCTTCCATTCTATAGTTTTTCAGAGTGATACAATGGATAGTAATCAAATCCCTGATGCACTGCAAAAGGAAAAGTAACAAGAAGAAAAAATATGATGTCTGGCATGATATTTGTCACTGATAGGCCGCTTAAAATCTTCCTTTGGCCCTGCTGGCCTGACTCTATTGGAAGATGTATCAGAAGAAGCATGTAAGGATACTTCAATCCAAGTAAACACAATGAAGTTCACTTCCATCCAATGATAACGTGAAGTCTCTGTACACTTTCTTCACATTGTTACTCGGTAAGAGTTCCATAATAGTATCATTCCTCTTTAATAGTGCCAGTAATTGGAAAAGGGTGAGCCTCTGTGTTGAAAACAAATTTATCCAAAGGAATGACTGTGCTGTCCCCAAATAGCAGGTATAAATACTTCAATGTCTCTCCTATGAAGAAGGTCTCCATCTTGTCTCTTCTTTGAGGGGGAATCGTGGTGACATCATCTAGAGAAGTGTAGCCCCCAGAATCCACCTTTGTATATTTTTCAAATGCTTCAAAGATCTGCCAACCCCATTCTCGATATCTGCAGAGGTTCAAGACATTAAGCAGTTAAAAGGGACAAGATATGGAGCATGATCATTTATATTTTTAGTGATGTACAAAGAAGAGCTTGCCTAAAAGACGTCCTTCACATAGCATAAGAAAACTACAAGCCTAAAAGCATTTCTTAACTTACTTGGGGTCTTCTGTAATACGAAATAAAACAAATAATGATTCAACAGTTTCAGGGCGCAAAAGGTTGTGACGATCAGCATGTTTAATTATGATATCATTCAAATATTCAGAACTTTTGTTTCCACCATCAGGTCCTCCTTCGGAAGCTCCCTGCTTCATAAAAACCATAAATCATTCTCCAACAAAAATGGAAACTGAAATTAGATGCAGAACATTTCTATGTATTAACCAGCCTTGTACGTGTACATTCACATTTTACATGATCTACAGTACGATTCAAAATAATTTTTTAGTAACCAAACTCACCTCTACATTAAAATAAGCAATTTCTGGAGCAAGACCAGTAGAAGTCACAAAGTACATCTCAACACATGTCTTTGCTAGATCTTCTGCCAACTTCAAGTTTTCCAAGTCTTCAAAGGTGAGCAAATTTTCTTCCATAGCTTTTTTCTTTGTAATCCCTTTAGTAGCACCTAGCGCCAAAGTTCCTGGCAAGAAACACACCTGAACAAAATATCAGATGTCTCCACATTAGTAGATTAGCCATTTTAGGAACAAGTAGTACTCGAGTAATTTTAACAATAGATAGCACGAAACACGATTCATGTAGCCAACCCCACATAGTTGGGACAAGGTTTAGTTTACTTAAGGACTGATATTTTGTGCAGAAACACTAATAACTGCATGAACAAAACATGATCCTTAACAGATGAACAAGGTGGACAGGTGGAGGGTAAGTGGTAGTCCTAATATTCTTACAACTATATTGCTTGTGTGTGTCCCAACTGCACCCATTGGAAGCACTTGGAGTCGGAGATATAACTTGGTATAATTCCAAACCAACCAGGGACAAAATCAGGTTGGGCCAAGTTGGGTTAAAGGATGCATTATGGTTAAGATTGAAAAATGCCAAACTGAAGTTAAATCAGGTTGGTCTAAGGCTGATGATGTAGACTGATATGATATAAGGCTTGACAGGTAACAAATTTCAGGGAAAACTGAAAAGCAAATTGATGATTTTGAGGGTTTAAGTCCAAGATTTGGTTTATAGGACCATAGGCAGATCTAAGGGAAATGAGGGGTTATCTTGGGCTATAGGGCTATAAGATTTGATTAAAGAGATGATTTAGTGATGAAATTCCTGCAATGTGCAGAAATTTCTAGAGAGAAAATATAGTATCCAATACTTTAAGATTGAAATGGAATTTCCTCATACTGTTTCAGTGGAATTCCTTTTTTTCTTTTTTTGAGAAAAGGTAACTTTCATTCAAAAAGAAAAGGGAAGGATGTACATGAGAAGATGTACAAACAGGGCTTCCAAAACAAACAAAAAAAAAAATCAAAAGCCTGCTCAAGAAGATGAAAAGTATTTTACCTATACAACATATTCCTTCTGACCCCACTTTTAGCTAACACATCAGCCAAAAAGTCAAGATTCTTAGGTATCCATCTGAAACAACATTGAAAGGAAGCCAAGATATCAAGAATTTCAAGCAAAAAATGGGCAATCCTCCAAGGGCCTGCACTTCTCTTTTTAGCCCAACCTATTGTGATTCTAGAGTCTCCCTCGTTTCAGTGGAGTTCTTAGGATGGTAAATTAAAGAAGATGGGGCACCTAGACTGAATGTCATGACTTGTACAAAAAAGGTAACCATCTAAGCAACTAGGTGCCTGCCTAGTAGAAAAATCAGAAAATAAAAACAGATTTATAACAGAAAGGAAAGAAAAGAAGAAGAGTTTCTTGGAAAGAAGAGAAGAAGATATGGGAGAAGCCAATAATCATCTGTCCACCCCACTCATTAACTTATATACTAATTAATTAAAAGGAAAGACAATCACTAATATGCCCTTAATAGGGTGGCTGCTGTCAATAACATAAAAGAAAGCATTAATTATTGGGCCTTGGGCCCTATAACACTAATTAAAAACATAAAACATAACTATTTAAACCTCAACACTACACCTCAAGTTGGGAATAGATGTCACACATTCCCAACTTGCATAGATCGTGTTCAAGCTTGTTCTTTGAGACCCCCTTGGTGAGTACATCAACAAGCTACAGTCAAATGAAACATATGGCAAGCAAACTTCCCCAGATGTCACCCTTTCTCTTATGAAATGTGTATCTACTTATATATGCTTTGTTCTATCATGCTGAACTAGGTTATGGGCAACGTTAATTGCTGCTTGATTATCATAGTAGAGCATCATAGGTGTATCAACTAGCTTGACTCCAAATTTTTCACTCCTGAAGCAGAACCAACACATACTTTCTTTGGGAAATGTAGATCCCATGTTTGGATCTTACCATTTTAATACCCAGAAAATATCATAGCTCCCCAAGGTCCTTAATCTCAAAACTCTTGGTGTAGGATCTTCTTTAAGGCATCAATCTCACTCAAGTCATTCCTTGTGACCATAATGTCATCCACATATACTATTAGCATTGACACCATTGATCCCCTTCTCTTCACAAACAAGGTATGATTTGATTGGGTTTGAGTGTATCCAAAACAAGTCAATGCTCCCCTAAACCAATCAAACCAAGATCTAGATGACTGCTTCAATCCATATAAAGGCTTCTTTAATTTGCATACCTTTCCCTTGCCTACATCACCATAGAAACCAGTTAGAAGGTCCATGTACACCTCTTCTTGCAAATCTCCATTGAGAAAAGCATTCTTCACATCAAGATAAAAAAAGGGGCCAAGAATCGGTGGTTGCTAGAGACAAGAGAATCTGAACTACACTCATTTTTACCATTGGTGCAAAAATCTCCAAGTAGCCTATCCCATAGGTCTGAGTATACCCTTTTGTAACCAGCCTTTCCATGGACTTTTCAATGCTCCCATCATCAACCATGTACTTCACAGTATACACCCACCTACATCCAATTGTCTCCTTATCAACAAGTAGATCTGCAATTTCCAATATCTAATTTTTTATCAAGGATTCCATTTCCTTTTGCATAGTTGTCCTCCACTCAGATTTGGAGAGAGCCTCACATGGGAGAAAAATGTGATGTAGAGGACTGAGAAAGAGAAAAATACACATCTAGAATCCCAGTCATATGATTAGAAGCTCCAAAGACGATAATTCAATGAGAGGGTTTGGATGCCAAACAAGCCATACTTGAGTGGGCAAGAGTAGTTGCATTATGTTGAGACGTAGCCTAAAGGAACCGCTCATACTCATTACGTGGAACACTCATCATCTCTTTCCCAGAGACATTTGTAGATGTAGAACGTGTCTAATCAACTTGTTGAATTTCATCTTTCGTGCCATCACCACTAACCGCCGCATGATTGGCCAAGGTAGAGGGTGACCCATGTAGATCATAACAAAAATTGATAGTATGTCCCTCCATTCCATAGTGCATACACTTCCTCACACCATTACCACATCCTCTACCACAAGCTCCCCCTGAATCTCAACCTCCAATATGCCCACCACCATGATTGAACAGGGGACCACTACACCACCACCACCTGGCTGTGTTCCTCGAGCTCCTCCTCTACCACCATGACCTCCACCTCTTGTTATTGCAAAAGCAAACCTATCAAACACAATAGAATGCTCCGGAAGTCCAATAGAAATCCTCTAGAGACGAGAAAGCACTTCCTCTAGAGAGGGAAGGGCAAATCCACCTAGTATCTATGCTCTAGCCTTCAACCCTACTAAAAATCTGGTAACATCAAGCTTCCTTCTCTATTGTTGTTGAATTTTGACGTCAGATGTAAGGGGATGATAAACATTCAAATCATTCCAAAGATTCCTCATGCTAGCATAATACTCTCCAAGACTTTGATTACCTTGTTGTAGATTAAAGTACTCTTGGTAAAACTAACATACTCAGGTAGTATTATCTTGTCCATAGTAAAGCTTCTTTGCATGGTCCCAAATCTCCTTGGTTGTATTTAAGAACATAAAGTTAAAACAAATCTTAGGTGCCATGCTATTCCACAACCATGTCATAATTTGTGCATCTTCTTGTTCCCAATCACTGTATCCCTAAGAATCAACTCAGGGTTTTTCCTCTCTCACATGCTTCACTTTCTTCTTAGCTCTAAGAAAGACCTATACAGACTTAGCCCAAGGCACATAATTCTCACCATTTAGTTTAATACAAGTCATCTGCACATTCAGGTAACCAAGGGGAATAATAAAACTAGACTTTTGTTCCTTGCTGTCTCCCATAGCTGTCATAGTAAAAACAAACTTCCCACTCACTAGGATATTACAGCATTTCACTTTCTAACCACCACACTACACCACTAATGGCTGATTATTGCTGAAAACATCTACTGTCACAATTTCAAAAATAACAGTCACTGCTGTCATACACTTTCAGCACCACAAAACCACCCAGATACACTCCACATGCATACCACTAGGTCTGCAACTAACCGATACTTGTTTCACACTGTGACACCCATGAAACCCACCTATTTAAACCACACAAATCAGTCCTGCACCAATCTGGCCACTACACCACCTAAAACAGCCCTCTTCGATCAATCGATTAGAGGGTTCCTACCAACCACATGAAACACTCACTGCACCACCAACTGGAGGCATGAAAACCTCCAAAGGAAGAAAACAATCACTCCTTTTCAGCCCTTTTTTGAAACTCCAAGTGATCAGTGAGATTTATACAGAGAACTAGGGTAGAAGGAGATCTAAAATTCTGGGTTAACATATGACTCAACCACAGCCGCTCTGATACCATGTTACAGATCTAATCTGTACTGGTTTCAGTCCTAGAACAATAGAGAAACAGAACAGAGAAGAAGAGAGAAGAGAGAAGAGAGAAAAAAGAGGAGAGGCAGAGAAGAAAATCTGGTTCGAACTAGAGAGAAAGTCTAACTCTCTAGTCGGCCAGGTATTATTTAAAGGTTTCTAGTTTAAGTTACAATGACTCTTATGCCCCTAAGTATGGGACATAACACTTAAATCAAAACATAAAGGACAGTATACCATGCTACTAATATAAGATAAAAAGACCAAACTACCCCTTAACATCCGACCCTAACAAGTTCTAATCAAGCTTCAAAAGAGTTTCTAGGTTGGGGTACTGTTTGTGGGAGGTCTTGTTCATGCATTCTCAGGCTCGCTCGTTTGTTTTGTTGGAATGGCTTGTGGGATCTGTTTTGCCCCTGTTTTTTTCTTTTTATTTTTGTATACGTCTTCTATACTCTGTTTTCTTTTTAATAAATTTACCTTATCTTACGCAAAAAAAAAAAAATTATATTTTTTACTCTTTTGTTTGTTCTTTTGTCAGATCTGTTGTCACATCATATAAAACAAACCAAACTCACAAATTACTAGTATAGACCCACTATACAGTTCCTTGGAATGACTTGCTGATTGATTTCAAAAAGGCCACTAGGGGAATTAAATTTTACTGGCAAGTTTGACATGAATTTTCAATAAGGTAGCTATTAAGTGTCCACAAGTTCAGAAGTATGACATACCAGGTGATCCATTTTTGGACTAAAAGAACCCTTGGATCCATAAGGCAGTTCCCCTACAAAAACCAATCCTTTTGGCACAGATTTCCGAACAAGAAGGTGTCTTACGCCTTTCATTGCTTCCTCATACATGTCATGCAAATACTTCAAATTACTATCTCGATTTGGTCCTTGCTGAAGCCAAACTTTTATCAAGTATTCATAGTAGCTGTCACCACGGGAACCCAACCGAATATTTTCTCCACTGAACTCGCCAGAATGAGGGCTGCACTCATAAGAAAACAAAGTCATCCAAAACACATGCACAACGATTGAAACCTAAGCTGTAATCAGTTTAAGAAGTTTCACAGAAACAGGAAGCAATCAATAAACAGTACCTAAAAAACTAAGACGCACAAGTTAGCAATAGAACAAATACAACCATTAGCAACCATGCATAAGAATGAATAATTCCTATCCTATTTATGCATGAAATGTTATACTTTCAATTTAGGGATGCTCATCAAAAACTGAAAAACTGGACCAAACCAAGGAAACTGAACCAAAAAAATCCAGTTAACCGAAGGACCAGTTTGGTTTTTGGTTAATCTAGAAAAAACCAGCGGTTAACCAAACCGACCAAAAATTGCAACATTTGAGAGATAATATAAAGGAATGAAATAGGGAACATTTTGGAAGGATAGAAGAAAGGAAGATAACCCTAATCTCTCACATTGAAGAACTAGATGAGGTGGAGATTGAAAGAAACCTTAATGCCGAAGAAAGGAACTTGAGATGGAAGTTGACAAAGGAATTGGAGTTAGGGGTGGATTCGAGCCAAGCCGAGCCAAATAGTATGAGGCTCGAGCTCAGTTTGAGCTAAAACCTTGAGCTCGAGCTCGGCTCGAGTCATAACCTCATAAGCTCGAGCTCGATTTGAGAAAAATGTTTTATAAAAATTAAAAATTATATATAAAAAATATTTTTTTTATATTTAAAAAAATAAGAATTATAGTATTTTTATTATATATTTTTTCTATAATTATATTATATATTATAATATATATATATATCCGAGCCGATGAATGCGTAGAGGAAATGAAGAGATCTAATAGAGAAGGATTTGTGTGCAAATTGGACTTGGAAAAGGCTTATGATATGGTGGATGGGAATTTCTTAATAGAGGTGATGCAAAAGTGTGGTTTTGTGGAGAGATGGTGCAATTGGGTGTTTGGTTGTATTCGGTCTTGTCACTATTCTATTCTTGTTAATGGAGTGGTGAGAGACTTCTTCGGTTCTTCCCAGCCTGCAAGGGGTTAAAGGCAAGGTGATCACCTCTCAGCTTTTCTTTTTACCTTACTGGCGGATGTTTTTAGTAGACTCCTCTTTAAGGCTAACAGGGAAGATGAGATTAGGGGTTGGAGAGTGGGGAGAAACAATGTTCCAATTACTCACCTTCAGTTTGTAGATGATATCATAACTTTTTTTGTGAAGGGGGGTTACTAGGAGGGTGAGGAATTTAAAAGAACTGGTCAAGAAGTTTGAAAGGATCTCAAATTTGAAAATAAATTTAGACGAGAGTTACCTAGCAAGGATTCATTTGGAAGGGAATGCATTAAGTGCATTAGCGGAGTGCTTAGAGTGTGAAATAAGACCGGCAGCTTGGAAGAGAAACCATGTTCCCTTAGGAGGTAGGATTACCTTAATAAGATCAATCTTGGCTAGAAATGATTTCCTTTGGGAACCAAGTGAGGCTAAAAGAGACCACTTAATCAAATAAAAGATTGTATGCAGAAGTAAGAAAGAAGGTGGTTTGGGTATTGGGAATGTGAGAAAGAGTAATATGGCTCTTTTAGGGAAGTGATTATGGAGATGGCCTTTAGAGAGGGAGAGTTTGTGGCACAAGGTGGTGGGCAGTATTCATGGTGTTAGACAGTTTATGCCCTTAGCTCCAATCAGAATGATGTACATTATGAAATTTAATGTAAATGAATAAAGTACATATTTGATTCATGTTATTATGGTGTGTTTCTGTGTAATACCCTTAAACTGGACACATATGAGACTCGTGTTAGTTTAGAATCTTCAYAGCCRWWGGATAGATCTGGGGAGATTTATCTTGCCAAGGCTGACACTGATGTGCCGCCAAGTTGGTTGGGGTGGCTTGTCTTAGCTGCCAATGTGAGACTTGAGGTACATGCAGTGTGGGTTTTCTGGAAACCCTGAACCGGACCAGAATTCCAGTATTGCCCTGGACCTTGGAGATAAATGGGCAAAACTGTAATGTCGCACCAGACCCCTGGGTATGTTGGGACAATCCGAGAATTCATCTAAGTGGGTGATCATAGTGACAGGATCAGCCCCTTTGTCGGACAAAGTGAATGATCGGGGATGCACTCTCTCTGATGGAAACATAAACTGCCAGCAGTTGATTTCAACCGTTGAAATTTGTTTTGCAAAATATATTTATATAGAGATATACATATATATATATATAAAATGTTTGCAAAAGGTCTTAATTCCCAGGATCCATGTGAGTAGAGAGTGCAGCACTGTACCTTGCAACCGAGGGAGAGGTCCTCTCTTGTCAGGTAATGTTTGATCATTATGGGCTGAGAGGTTAAGTGTAAGACCATTGAGGGTAATACCTGATGGGCTAATCTTGCATCTGCCCATGGTTCTTGGGTTTTTATAAGGTGGCTTGACCCAATGACCATTTAGTGTAAATGTTGGGCCCGTTAAGAGCCCATGATGATGGACTCTGGGGTTCACTGTTTCCTATAGTGAATTCGGCCAGGCCTTGTAACAGAGGTTGGGTCGAACCCATATGGCTGATGTGTAGATCAATGTTTGGGTCCCACGCCATACAAGGATAGCCAACTGGGCAGCAGTTTGGAGGTTAAGTGAGCACATATACTTAATGGGCCTAAAGCCCAATTCGAACTGGCTTAATAAGATTAATTAAAAGATGGCGGTTCTGGGATTTAGATCAGCAGATAGGATAAGGGATTGTCCCTATCCACTCAAAGAGTCCAGATCCAAATAAAGATTTGGATCAGGAAACTCCTAATTAGATTAGGAAGGGTGATCTTTATCTACAAATAAGATAAGGGATTATCCTTATCTCTTAAAGAGAGTCCAGATCCAAATAAAAGATTTGGATTAGGAAACTCCTAATGGGATTAGGAGAACCTCTCTTTAAGGCTATAAATAGAAGAGTAGGGCGAACCTCCAAATCATCTAACAGACTGTTGAATTCCAGAGAGAGACAACACAGTTTGATTGCACTGTCTTCTTCTCTCCTACTCTTGCCGCCCTACCAGTTTGATCTCCACCTGTGGGAGTGATCAAGAAAGGTTCTTGATATTACCTTTTGGTAGAAAAGGTAATCTGAAGTCGTGCTCACCAGCCCTCCATCACATTCTTGCTGAAGAATTCGGTTCTTGCTGAAGAGTCGTCCTGCTGATTCTGCTTCATCCTGCACTGTGTCATCTTCGATGGAAGCAGTCTTTGGATTTCTCCTTGGGCGTGAACACCTTCATTGGGGGTTTACCATTACTCCGTATCAGGTATATCCCTCTCCTCCCTTGTGGTTTCAGATCTGGTCCGGTTTGGTTTCAAGATTGATCCTTGAAAATGTAGTTTTCTAAAATAGGGAATGCGATTCCCACATGGGGGAGAGAGAAATTTTTGAAATTTCGCCCAACCTTCCTGCAGGGTTCGGCCATCCATATGATGGATCTCTCATCCCTTCACATGGGAGGTTGGAGAATGGCTGGGATGCAGGTGTATCACGTCGGACTACTTTGGCAGCACCTTGTTAAGCAATCCATAGCTTTCGCCATCAGTTCCCCAGGTATAATAATGAGATGATTTTGAAATTTGTAATACCTCCTATTTTGCCTTTGGTTCATAATTGAGATTTTGGGTTTCAAAGGGGTTTGAGGATTGAAGAGCTCACTTGCTTGTCAGAGCTTTTACTTATCCTTGATAAATCTACCTAGAGCCTTCTAAACTGGATAGAAGAGTTTGGGTTCCAAGTTCTAAAGGTTTATTTTCTTGTGCTTCTTTTTTTCTTGCTCTTTGCAAATCCCCTACCCCTCTTTCTCTTTCCCGCTAAGGAAGTTTGGTATCAGCCAGTTCCTCCTAAAATTAAGGCTTTTTTGCTGGGAAGTGGCTTATGGGAAGATTAACACTCTGGACTACCTGCAAAAGAAAAAGGCCTTTCTTGTGTATTTCCCTGAACTGGTGCACTCTTTGCAAATCCAATGGTAAATATTGTTATCATTTACTAATTTCCTATTCCTTTGTTGCAAACATTTGGGATTGGTTTTTCTCTCTATTTGGGTGCAGGTGGAACATGCCAAGGGAGATTAAGTTACTGTTTGACTGTGCTACTTTTTCTTGGCCAAAAAGTATGGGAAAAATAATGTGGAGGTGTACTAAAGAAGCAATACTTTGGACGCTATGGCAAGAATGAAATGCAAGAATCTTTCAAGAGGAGAGAAGCAAACAACAGATTTTGGACTGTGTAATGACCAGGGTTATACATTGGCTACTAACTCTGGATTCATTTAGACGGTTCTCTTTTGATGATATTTGGAGGAACCAATTTCCAATGGCATCTAGTTCGGTGCAGAAGATCAGACCAAGGCCAATGTGGACACCTCCTTTTGAAGGTTTTGTGAAATTAAACTTTGATGGGAGCAGTGTTAAGGCAATCCAAGTCCTTCAGGAATTGGAGGAGTCATAAGGAACACAGAAGGGATCATACTAGCACTTTATTCAGGACCACTGGGGATTGGAGACTCCTTACAGGCTGAACTAGTTGCAGTATTACAAGGTGTTCAGATTGCAAAAGACTTGAACATGGAGAACCCGGTAATTGAAGGGGACTCCCAAGGTGGTGGTAGGTAGGGCAAGAGATCTAGAGTCAGTGATTTGGTGTTACAGAAATGAAATAAAGAAGTTTCAGTGGTTAACACAGCAGATGAATCTAAGGAAACAGTGGATGGGGAGAGAGGCTAATGCATTGTAATTCTGTACTAGCTCTGTTCTAACAATGAAGCTGCATCTCGTACTTGTAACAATGCCTATCATTATGATTTTCAATGAAATTTAATAATCTTTTACTTATAAAAAAACCAAACCCACCAATATATATATATATATATATATACACATATATATATTAGATTACATTATCTAATATATTGTATTATTATATATATTTATTTATTTATAATATATTATAAATATAAAAAACCAAAGAACCAAACCAGTTAA